GAAACAACAAAGGTCAAAATAATAAAACATAAAAATGAATCAGTGGCAGCAAAAATTAAACCCTTGAAGAACACAAAACAGCGTGGACTGAGCGAAAACGTTTTGGGGCCGCACAAATGAAATCGAAACAGCGAACGGGATACAAAGGATGACATGATCACGAGGAAAAAAATGATAACGCAAACTACCATGATAAGGTTGAAAACCTTTCCCCTCAGGGCCACTGCAACAAAAAACAAACAGCGTATGCAAAAACAATACACCACTTTCGATATACTAAAATTCATCTTGATAGTGAGGCTTAGAGGACACAAACAAAAGAAATGAATAAACATGGTCATTCAATTTCCTTTGTTTGTGTCTTCTAAGCCTCACTGCCGAGATGAATTTTAACATATCGAAAACGGTCCATTTAATAGTCGCATATGTATAGCCAGAGCGGAAACCTTTTTAAGGACCACCCAAACAAATACAAACAGCAGATGCAAAACAACGAGTCTCGAGGAAAACAAAAAACTCCAGTTAGACTCATAACTAGCTAGCTAGAGCAGGCACCTTTTAGGACCGCTCAAATAAAATACAATTAACATATGCAAGAAAACAACTGACAAGTCATGAGGAAAACGAAAATGCTTCTAATCTCGTAATTTTACAGCTTAAAAGTACGTTTAATTTTATTTTTTCAACTGATACTTCTCCATCTACATATCCATCCACCAAAATATCTTTGCAATGCACGTGGCAAGATTATCTGCGGCAGACTGACTGGGTTCAATTTTCTTAGAATTACGGGCTACACGAGGGATGAGCAATCTTACTCATCACACTCTCTTGGTTTTTGCTATTATCGTATGTTACATTTTACCATCTGATTTTCATACTTTATATATGACAGAGTAAGATCACTTAGTCCTGAGTTATACAGGCAAAGCCCAGTACCGGATTTGGGGGGAGCACCCCACTCCCCCCCCCCCCTCTTGGTGAAGCAAAAATGAAGAAAAAGTGAAAAAGATTGTGAATATTTTGGCAGAAATAAAGGCAAACACTCTGCACAGGTACCTCACGGTAATTTCTACTTTGTGGCATTGCTACTGTTTCTGGTATTGCAGTTTTAAATTAGGTTTCAATTCTCAAATTTTGGGGGCATGTTCCATTGATTTTGCAACTCCCAAGTACTAGCCACTCCTTGAAATATCCTGGATCCGCCCCTGAAGTTTCCTCTCCGTGTTAGTTTGAGCTCGTTTTGGCAAAGTACACTGAAGATTCCAAAGTCAGGTTGACCCGAGCGCGAAGATTCCCGAAGACCATCCGATTGCCGAAGACGATGCATATTTTTCGAGTGTTTCTCAACATCTGCAAAATATTTTTCTATTCAGTTGCTTTACCTCTTCACGAATTTCCCTCAATCTCCAGATGTAAAGCAAAGGATTCACTGAAGAAGTCATCAACAGAAAAGTGGTTGACAAGTGAAGCACTGCGGTTGATGTTTTGTAGGACACGTTTAAAAGCGCCATTAACACGGCGGAAAATGCATACGGGGAGAAACCCAGCGAGAACGTTGCCATTATCCACAATATAGTGTACACCGATTTCTGGTACTTCTCAAGATTGAAACCCGTTGGGCCGCCGTAGATGATCTCAGTGTTCGCATGAACTTGTTGTTTATGCTGGCGAATAATGCGAAATACTTTAAAGTACGCCACGGACGAAACTACGAGGCAAAAAAGACCGATAGATCCCTCCATGATATGGACAATAGCTGTAACAAAATACGCCTTCATTCCAGGCAATCTGCGAAGCGCCATGTAAGGTACCGGTATAAATAAAAGCACGCCTTGTATTATATAGACTCGCCTTACAGTTAAGCGTCGACGACTCATTAGTAGCCATCTTTCTACGGCCATTGCCGTCATTGTCAAACCTGTTACAGTGGAAAAATATGGGACGATGCTATGAGCAACTGCATTTGCGATGCAATACAGCCTTTTGTTTACTATTAACGCAGCAATTCTGTACAGAACGTAAGCTGGCTGACCAAGGATCCCTATACACAAGTCTGTTAAAGCAAGCCCACAAAGAAAAACGTAAGACGGTGTTCTGAGAGACGGGTTTCTCCAAATTGCTGTTAAAACCAAAGCATTTCCCACCACTGCCACTGGTGAAGACAAAGCGACTGTAACACAAGTGAAAATAGTTATTGAGTTATAACTAGTGTGGTTGAACTTGTGATTTGTGCAAAAATCAAACGGAAGGCTGTCATAAGAGTTGGATAGGCTGAGGCCAGTATGATTCATTTTGGCACAGTTTTGTCTTTGATTCAATCATAGACGTGTTTTATTTTAATTTGACTCTTGTTGCGCATGAATTAAATTTCATTTAAATTGCATTAATGCATTGGCAAACAGATGAAAATGTGTTTTAATATAGAAGGCAAGATCATATTTAGAAAATTTATTCCAAAGGAACGATATTTCAAAATCATTTCACTGTTAAGCCGCAAGTGCAGTTAAAGGTGACAATAAAAAAATAAAATCCAATTGAACTTAACGTGGTTAGCATTGAATGTTGCAAAATGGAGAGAGATTTTGAATGAAGGTAGGAAAGACGATTCAAAATGGTAATTTGTCAAATTTATCTTTCATTGAATTTTGAGAAGGTTGTTTGGTTTATTCCTGCTTCATATGCGTGATATTTAATTTACATTCAGTTTAGAATAAAACCTGTTTAAACAAGTTGTCAGCAAAAGGATGTTGTCAAGTTAGTTTCCGACATCTAGTAAATCTCTAAGCAAAATTTTAATTAAAAAAGCTTTTTTTCGAGGAACATAATAACTATATTATTATAATTATGGTGGGCGACTGCAGCTGTAAAGCAAATGGACAGTTGCTTAAATACCCGSCGGGGGKGGGGGGGGGGGGTACTCCCGGAAAATTCGGTGAGGCTGTGCGGCCTGCTTCCCAAAACAATTACCCTATGTAAGATCAAAATCTGCGATTTTCCCTACCCTATTTATGACCTAACCAACAATTCGATACCCTATTTAAGACCTGGCCCTTACATTTCTCTAATTCAGGCCACTGTTAAAGGCAATGTTTATATGCTTTTATTAGCTAGGATGGCTTCCTATGAAAAACAAATCTAATTCAAGACAAAAACCATACCCTATTTGAGACCAAAATAGCCAAAATTGATACCTTAGTTAAGACCAAAACGGCTAAAAACTATACCCTTTGGGGACGCACATACCTATATAACCCATACAAGAAAGATGAGCTAAAGCAAGTCGAAGTGAATAGCAAGATCTCGTTAACTTTGGCTAAATTATTATGCTCATGGAGAATGAAAAAGAAAAGTGTCCAAGCCGATCATCAAAACGGTTTTATTTCCTAGCTATTTCCGTATCATATTGCCAGTTGCACCAAAAGATAAAAATATCATACCGAACAAAATTTAACAAGTATTTTCGGGAAGAAACACGGGATTACGGCGATGAAAGTGAGTTACACCTAGCTCATCATATTGACTTTGCGACAGGATATGAAGAAATGAGGGCCTTTCAGGGGGACGGGGGGTGGTAGCATGTTCCTTCGATCCCTTGAAAATCCCTATTAATCAATTCAGTCTATTGTTCCCTAAACGTTTTTGTCAAAGTTCCCTTAAATAGGCTTAATAGTAGAGATATTCCTTAATTCCTTGTTCCTTATGAATTTTTCTCAAAAATATCCCTTGGTCCCTTGAAATTGCATTGAAACTGACATTATTAACTTTTCTTTTAATTCTAAATACTTTCAAATTGCTTTCAGCAATTTTGACGTTTTCTGCTCTCTATTGCAAGATGACGAAGCAGGTTTACAGCAAGTTCTGAGCATTTTTTAAAATTATAATTAAAACACGATATTTCAGCCAGAGCGTCACTGTGTCTTTAACTTTACCCAGCTGCAAATCATCCGATTTACAATATCTAGACCTGTGTAATGCGAATCAATTGTTAAACATTTGTGCGGGGCATTTTTGATCAAACGCAAAACAATCCATTTTAGGCATACTTCATGTTTAAAATAGCACAAAACAAAATCAAGAAGTTTTCACTGGCACGCGCTATCTATATTTCATTATGAAAAAAAAATTTAGTGTCATTGAAGCGTTTTTCAATTTTTTTTTTTTTTTTGAAAAATGAAAAATTCTCAAGTACAAACGTGTTCCGACAAAAATGAGATTAAATCAAGAAATGATGTCATCGGGTAGTTTGGCCGACAGACAAACTCGTCGGGGGGGGGGGAGGGGAAACTTTTTCAACCATGGACCAGCAGCCATGCAGATTTATTGGAACAAAAGAAAAGAAAAGGGTTCAGCTCCCGTAGAAATTTTTCCGGTACAGGTTTGATTTGGTAGACCAACATGGCCGCCGTTTCATTGTTTTGGTACACATGTACAGTGACGACATGTGAAAACGCTCCATAG